TCTCTGGGCCCAGCCCTCCAGCCAGTTCCTAACCCAGCACAGGGTGCCCCTGTCCAAGCCATGGGATGCCAGCTTTTTCAGGAGTATGCTGTGGGAGACAGTGTCAAAGGCAGAGTTTCCCACTCTGCCAGGCTTTGTTACCAGGAGTCAGTGGAGATGTGAGTTCCTACCTGTGACTGCTGCTTTGCAGCATCAGCAAGGAATCCCACTGCAAACTAAAGATCCTGAGTGACTTGTTCAAGATGTATTTTTCATGACAGATGACTACCTTAAGGACAAAATCCTACAGCTGTTTTCCCCTGCTGTGCAGAATAACCCCTGTTGCTCAAGGTTAACAGCAATCATCTTGGTCAAACACAGTGTTAGTTCTGGTGTTGTCATGCTTTGGATTAGCAGGCCTGCAAAGCAAGAAAGTACTCTCTCAGAAAGCATCCTGCATTTTCAGAACTTTTAATTTCAAAAAAATTGTGATGTTGCTTAAATGCATCATTTAACAAAAATTTGTAAACTACATTTTTAAATTTAAAAAGAAGGAAATGGTATTCAAATTCTGATAGCAAAAGCTGTGTTACCCAAAGCCAGACTGTGGTAAACAGAAGAAAAGTTGGATTATTTGGGCAATGATTTAATGCAAAGTATTCTGCAGATGCTATGGGAAAACTTGGGAATCGGGAAAGAGAATAGTGAGGCTCCTTTAAAAAGTAACAGCACTACAAGTTTGAAATTTTCCTACATAGGGAGTTATGTGTTCTGACCAACCTAAATCCTGCACTGTGAAGGACATGTCTTGGGGTCACCTGCCACCACATTTCATTGTCCATTGTATCGTATAAGTCACATTTCTGTTACTGTAGAACTACTTCAATTGCAACTCCTCTTCCACAGGATAGTTAAGTGCAAATATATATTTCCCCCACCAGATACTTCAACAAATACGTGTTTCCCCAGCAGATGCTTCCTACTACCCCTGGATATTGAGTACGGCCAAGTAAGGTAAGTACCTAAAATGGCAGAAAATGTACCATATGTAAAATGTTATTTGGTGTCACATCAACCCCTCTGTCCTTCAACATTGAATCATCTCCCTCATGGAAAAGGTTAGGCTGTATCTTACACCATGTTCTGCCTGTTTAGTAGGATGTAGAAAAATGTTTGCTTTTCTTTGTGTGGCATCTACCAGAATTCAAATTGGCATTGTTTCTTCTAGTTACTACTTGTTTAGCTGCAGTGCCATGTTGGACAAAAACCTCTGTGAACCAACTGTGACTGATCTTTATTTAGCAAGGATCCAGAGGACAACAGATGACCTGTTAAGGTTGGAAATTATTTTATAGTAGTGAAAAGCCTTCTATAGTGCTTTCCTATCTGAGAAACTTTAACAGCTTTTCATTTGCCTCATGCAAATAACATCAAATCTAACACTGTAACATACACAGAAATTATTATCTCTGTAAGGAGTCTCAGAATACAGGATAAATCAATGTCCCAGGACCTATTGAAAGATTGCAACACTTTCAGAAAATTTTTTATGGTTTGCAGATTCACATTTACTAGAATTGCCTTATGCTGTATGACTCTCTTGTCCACCTAAAGCCCAGAACTATCCTCAGTTTCTTTACCCTCAAAGGCTGGAACTGCCCTCTGCTCCTTCACCTTTTACCCATTAAAAACAAATAACATGATATATCCACAAAACAACGATACCATAAAGACCTTTGGCTCTTGCTAATGGCAGAGCCCAAATCAGAGTATTAAAAAAAAAGAAAAAAATTTAAAAAGGCTACAAAATAACACTTACCACTACTGCTTTCACTTTCCTTTCTCCTTGAATTCTGCACAGCAGAGTTGAAGTTAGAAACTTGTGTTGTCATTGTATGCCTATATGACTTATGTTAGTAGCAGGAGGAGGAAATGTCATTGAATAATTACAGAAAAATGGCCTGGAAAGATCCTTGGGAGTCCATCCCAATGCTTGGGTTGCATCACCCAGACTGAAACTACATCTGAAACACAACTGCTTAACAGTTTTTAAAAGCTTGTGATTATGAAGGCACTGCAAGCTCCACAGACAGTCTCATCTAGCACTGTCCATACTACTAGAAAGTCTGTTCTAATGTCTAATATAAGTGGTGGAGAACAGATAATTAATTTCCTCTTTATGGATAACTTTCAGTCTTGAAGTTTATGTTATCCTTTTTTTTTTTTAATAAATAAGTCTATTTCTTTCAATCTTTCCTTGTAGATTGTGTTTTGTATCCCTACCCTTATCCTCCTCTTTACAGCCCTCCTGAAATGCACCACACAGCTGGATGTGGTACTCCAGCTGAGGCTTTGCCCCCGACAAACACAATAGAAGGACTATTTAACATCTTTTATTTTTACACATGCCCATAGCACATCGAGTGTTTATTTTTCCAAGTCATCTGCTGTATGACTGAGAGTATGATGAACTCTTTCTCAGACAGAAAGTGCAAACACTGAAAATGAAAAGGCTGTGCCAGGGCAAAGAGCTGTTGATTCCCATATCCTAGACTTGCTTTCAACACACAGCCAGTGGGACACAAAAAAACAAGTGGATTATGTAACTTATAATTGTGAAAGTTTCCAAGAGACAAAGGAAACTCTCCAGTGGTTACAACTAGTGACAAAATGACAAGGAGTTTGAACAATGCCCATAACCTTCTGTCACTTCACTAACCAGTAGGACACCAGGCAAAACTGTCTTCATCACTGCAGAGACCAGAAGAGAAATGATTTTCAGTTGTAAGTAGCAATGTAAACAGTGAAACAGGAATCAGCGCACAAAAAGCAGAACTCTCTGGTAGAATTGTTTGAGCAATTTAAGCAATTCTTTTGCTTAAAAAAGAAACATAAAAAATGTGTAAGGAAATTCAGGAGCAGTAAGGTTAGGGGTCTGGGAATTATTTAATTAAATCCTAGCTCTACACAGCCCATTGGGAAAGAACTGGCTTTTTAAGAGTATGTAATCAGTAGCACACGGATTGTTCAGAGACGTGAAAAGATGCTGAGCACCAAAGTCAACTACTGATATGACGCAGGTATGAGGCTTAGGGCAGCTTGCCAAAAAATAGTCTACTGGCTGTTGATAAAAGCATTACGTATCTCATAGTATGAACTGGGTTGAGAATACAAGAAAAGACGTTACTCAGAGGACCCATGCAAAAGTCAGTAGCAGTAACAAAAGTTAACGTGAATTTCTCTGTATTCAGAAGTACGCTGTTGAGAACTAGCAGGTACTTAGGAAATGTGATAGAGTGCAAGCTGTAATGTGTGAACAGGAACTGGTTTGCATCAGAAATAATAAAACCCAGCTGCCTGTGGAAGGAGCTGGCCAAACTCCAGGAACAATTTAAGGTCAAACTGGAATTAAAGCCTTTCTTAAAAGGAGACAGAAATTTGAGAAGTCAGAAAACTGAAGTGGCTGCACAAAACCACAAAATCACTAAGTGTTAGAATTGGTCCAAATGATGGGCAAAAAGAAAGAAAGGAGCCATTTAAACTTTACCTCAAGTAAGATCCTACCTGTTGTACATATAAAACCTGGAAAGTACTTGATAGTTACTAGGAGTTTCAGGAGGGGGTCTGAACGGGGATACCAGTTCTGAGGTGAGTTTGTAGCTACCTTCTGAGGCCTACCTTTTGCAACACTGTGATTGGAACATGAGTTCTGCCTTAACAATTGAAATGTAAAATTTTTGGAAGGTCTGTAATAGACTTGAATGGTTATAGAGAACTATTTTCATTGTATGAAGCACTTACAGCATAGTGGAACACAAATTTTGGATTCTTTATGTTTTATTGAGGGTTGCACACGAGGCCACATTCAGCTTCTTAGTGAGAGGTGAATGGGTATTATCACCTTTCTCCAGTAGCCAGTAAGCTTAAATAAAGTTTCTCAGCTGCCAGTCTTGCCCTGAGATTAGTTGCCTTATTATTGCTCCCCTCAGGGAGCAATACTACAGGATGCTTTGACCTTTCAGGGGGTAGGAATGCCATCTACTTGCAAGGCAGCAGAGTGACAGCGGCAGCAGGGCTGCACCGTGGGGGTAGGTACTACAAGCACTCCTGGTAGCTCTTCAGTCAGAAATAGAAAGCACCGAGTTGCCAGAGCACTCTGCCTTTGGAGGCAGCAAAAGAACTGATTCCAACTGTTTCTAGGAAGTCCTGGGCTCAGAACCAGACCAGTTCTGGCTCTTGTCCAGTCTTCATCGGCTGGTCACTGCCACCTACACAGCGGCTGAGACCCACCCTTTTGGATAGCCCCTGTGTTCCTTCTGGACAGGCACTGGATTTGTACTTACAAAACAATGTAAAGCTTATGTACTGAATGCATAATTTCAGTATTGGTAATGCAAAGAAATATGGTTAGAATTGGACAAAACTAAAAAATAATAAAATAACAATAATAATAATAAAATAATAAAATAATAATAAAATAATAATAATATCACCTGTCTATCTGCTTTGTCAAAAACATTCAGCAGGGTATTTTAGAGAGGAAAGTAGCTCTTTAAGCCCACCTTGTTCCTTTCTGTTCCTCTACACAGCAGGTAGCTAAAGGTTCCTTTGCCGACTCAGGGAAGCTGCGGGGTCGCTGGCAGCACGGGCGCCCATACGACCGTAAACCGAGGGGCAAAATCAGTGCCCTTGTAGTTAATGCTGAGGAGAAACCCTAAGGGGCGAGTGACCTGCTAGTTAATCGGGAGCGCTGAAATACCTGACACAGCCGCTCCAGGCTCCGGGGCAGGAACGCTAGCGGAAAACGCTACCCTGTCCCGCCAGCCCAGCAGCCTCCCAAAGCCAGCGGCTAGGGGAGACGTCTGACTGCAAGGTCAGGGTGGTTAATCTTTTCCCAAGTTTGTTTACAGGTAGGCTCAGCATCCCCTTCTAGCCCACTACGCCCTTCCACGCAACCCTTCCTTCCCCCCTCCCGGCCAGCTCGGCTTCTCGGGAGAGCCCGCCCCGGGGCGGAGCTCCGCGTTCCCCAAAAGCCGCCTCGGAAGCAGGGAGCGGGATCGGGGTTTGGATCAGGATTTGGGAGCTGCAGGGATCGGCACGGCAGGACGCGGCGGTGGAGGAGACCTCAGTGGTGAGTAGGGAGGCGGCAGCTGCTGCCCCTCAGGTCGTGGTGGGGTGGGAGACCATCTTTTGTGTGTAGTTATTTCTGCAGTCCTTGTTGCCTCTCTAGAGCCGAATCCATTTTAAGTAGCTAAAACTACTGTAAGCTGAAGTACACCGTGCGCTTAATACGGTGACGATGTTTTTAACCAATGTATAATTCGATACGTGGCTTTTCAAGCTTGTTCCCCAACAGGGGAATCTCGAGCTATTTAAGCAATGCATTCGTTTATGTAACCTCGGGTTTTGGTTTTATTACGGTCACGCTGTGGTTAAATGCAAGCAGACTTGTTTATGACACTTTTGCAGAAAGCACATGGATGAATCTCTGTATTAATTCAACCCAGCAAGTATCGTTCTGTCATCACTGAAGTTCAGGGAACAACAATATATGTTTGATAAGGACAATATCTTTTTGTAAAACTGAAGACTTTAATTTTTTCTGTAATGATGGCTGGTTTCCCTTTTTTTTAACTAGTTTGCCACTCACCTGATATGGAATTCTTCTAAGGAGATACTTATTGTTTTTATTGGTATAGGGAAGAAATTCTGAGTAAGAAGCAAACCAAGAATTCGGAAAATGAACGGAAAATGAAACAGCTGAGGTCATGGGACGAAATTACTGGCTGGTGTGTTTTTTGTGTTTTTGTTTTCCTCTGTGATCAGCTCTGCCTCTTTGCTTTAATTTCTCCTTCTTCTTCCTACTTCTTTCTAAATTAAGGAAAGCTAGAAGGAAGGATGTAGGATAGAAGTGGAAAGACTCATATAGTTTGTTTTCCATACTGGCAGAGGAGGAGACTAGTAGCCTTTCAGAGGTACAGACCTTGACCTTCACCTTGGGATACGTCAAATAAGAGTGCCCTGTAAAATTTCTGCATTAGGGTATCCTATGTGGATATTGAAGCTTCAACTAATATTAGTAAATATATTTACAAATTGAAAACTTTATTTGGCAGTGCACAGCATTACATAGAAAAAGTGAGTAACCTTCACTGCCTAGACAGAGTGAAATACAAAACAAACAGAAAAAGGATATATTTTACTTTTATCAGTGTTGTGTATTTGTGATAGATGAAACTTTGTTTTAGTATATTGGGGCGGAGGGAGTTAACTGCCAGTTTTGACAAGTTTCTCAGAAGCAAAGATCAGTGTGTGGCTGATAGTGGGAAAACCAAGTTTGGCTTTGTCTCTGTTAATTAAATGATCTGTCTTTAATCATGGCAGAACAGGAATATGAAGATCTTGGAGCTAGAACCGGCTCTCTTCTATACAGTGCCATCCACATGTGGCTCTGCTCCATTTGTATGGAAAAGCTGGCATAGTCTGTGCCTGTGGTCCTGACCTCTGTACTGCACTTTTTTTTGGCAGTATGGAAGGGTGTCCTTAGTTGCCTTTTGCTTGTTTATCTGTTTTTTACATCAGCAGTGTTCTTTGCAGTGGTCTAAAGAGTAAGATGGGTTTCTGTGCACGTAGGTGTTGAGTATTTGAAATTGTGTGCTTTGGAGTTTCATCGTACTGTGTGTCAGAAGACCCAGGCAACTCTTCATGAAGTAAAGAATGATAAAAGGAAAACCAGGGCTGCAGAAACTGCTCAGGCATGCTGAGTGTCTGCAACTTCTGAATCTTCATTTAGATACTGGGTTATTGGCACTTCTAGAGGAAGTGACTAAAGAAGGTTCAACTGTACAAAAGGCTAACAAAAAGTAACTGGTGTATTTGTGATATTTTCCAGCTGGGCTGTACAGGTGAATAAACAAAATAACAGGGAATGTAAGTGCCAAGGGAAGTACTTTCAAGTACAAATTTCCCATAAAATTAATTGGTAAAAGATAACTATAGAATCCAATGTTTAGGAAGATATTGTAGAAAATGGGAAAGTATTTATATTATGAGGAAGGGGAAAAATAAGCTGTGGACAGACCTGCTTGGTTTTGGGAAAGGCAGTCTTGTATTGGCTGGACTAGTTCTTCTATTTTTTCTAAGATAATTTAACATCTTGCAGAGCATATGCCATAGTTAATTATGATTTGTAGTCACATTGTCAAATTTACTGAACTGACCTCTAAGTTAGAACAGCCTTTTTTATGTACAATGCTTTATATACCTGATTACAGTATTTTCATGTAATGTTCACAAGAACAAATATTGTCAACACCAGTAGCAGAAATAGGTCTTAATGGAAGCAAAATGGCATGTGCACCCTTATTTCTGTCCCAGTGTACCAGCTCAGCTCATGTTAGTGCTGATAACTGAAAAGAAGGAAGTTTTGTCATGACTGTCTTAAAAGTTCCATTTGATTGCAGGATATAGTCAAACTAGTTCAGCTTGGTAAAAATGCTTGGAGGCTATTCACTGCAGTGCTCCTTAACATCATGCCTTAGGAGACAAACTGCTTTAACCTTTCATGGTAAGGAGAGTGGTGGCCTAAGTACATAGTAGACATTGATTTGAACCTAGATGCCTTTGTACAGTATTCCTGACTTTCTTCTGATTGTCAATCGTATTACATATTTTTTACCCTTAATAGGTTTGAAAGGCCCATTTTAAATGGAGCAGGCACAAAATTTTATTAAGTGTTAGGATGTATGAGATGTACTTACAGAAGCATAAAATCGTCTTATTTCACAGAAAGAGGAACCTATAATGCCAGCACTAAACTGGAAGCCCTTTATCTATGGAGGTTTAGCATCAATCACTGCAGAATGTGGTAAGCATTTCCTTTACCTGTTCACATTACTTTTTTTATTCAGATAGCATGGAACCAAGCTTGTTTTAAGTAGAGACTATCAGTGACAGTAGTATATGGTGGTCTACAGCACAGGAGGTTTTTTGTGTAACACTGACTGAAGATTTGCTGTGATCTGTGTTACCATGTGAGAATACTTGTGTCTGTAAACCCTCATCCCTTGTGAGTCTTGTTTTTATAAAAATTTTGCCTTTACATTTTATTATTTGGTGTTTGTTTGATCTGTTCGTAGTGGTCATGAGTAAATACAGCTTTTGCTTTGCTACAATAGACAAGCTAGATTTGAACAATTAAATTCAGTTTGTGAGCAACATAGAATAATTGCTGTAGTGAGACAGTGCATCTGATGTTTTAGGCCTGCTCTAAAGACTGACCTAAAATATCTACATCCTTATAAAGTCATATCTGAAATGTATGTACATGAAAATGAAGGAAATGTGGATTTTCATAGAAATATGAAAATATAGTTGGGCATGTGGTTGACTTTCATGGGAAGTCTGTCAAGTAAAGTAGATGCAATATAAAATTACACATAAAACTACTATTTTTTTTTTTTCATAGAATCATAGAATAGTTTGGGTTGGAAGGTCCTCTAGTCCAACCTCCCTGTGCTGAGCAGAGATATCTTTAACTATATCAGGTTGCTCAGAGCCTTGTCCAGTTTGACTTTGAATGTTTCCAGGGAAGGGAAGGATTTCTACTTTCTCTTATGAAACTTGTGCAACCTTGAGTTTGAAACTTCTCTTATTTGACTTGACTGAACATGGCCAATAATACTAAAAGCTTTGTAAGGAAGACATACAATTCACAAAAGCTTTGTGTGTCTGGTAAACCTTGTTAGAACAGATGTAGTTAATCCTGATTCCTGTTAGTGCTTAGGTCAGTATTGAATGTTGAGGTGGTCCTTTTCCTAAAGATGAGCTCTGGAAGGACTTCTGAACCCTTTCATAAAGGAAGCATGAAGAGTGTGAACTGAAACGTAGCTGTAGGAAAGCAATAACAGAAATAGGTACTGCTGCTCTTGCTTGCTTTTTTTTTTTTTTTAGAATCTGTATAACGTGTCCTGTGGAATTTATTTGCTTTCAATGATGTGCTTTTCAAAGGTGTTGGTAGAATGCACATGCAAACTCTGTACTTGATCGTGATTGTAGTGTCCTATTCAGTGTAGCTGTTTACAACCGGGCAATACCATGTTGCCTGAAAGTAGAGTGAATGGAGAATGTAAACACAGGGAGTAGGTAAGGCCTCTTACAAACTTTTAGAAGAAACAAGGTGATACAGCATGAACCACTTGTTTAAAAGAAAGTCTTGTTAAGAGACTTCTTTCCCATGGGAGTATTTTTTATATATTTTGGTATATAAGAAAGGTTACTGTTTCATATATGATGTTCTTTGCTTTCTTTTGTTAGGTAAGTACTTAATTAATTTTCTCTCTGATTTTTCTTCCAGGTACTTTCCCCATCGATCTGACCAAAACACGTCTCCAGGTTCAAGGTCAGGTTAATGATGCCAAATATAAAGAGATCCGCTACCGTGGAATGATGCATGCACTTGTCAGAATATGCAGAGAAGAAGGACTGAAAGCCTTATACTCTGGGTAAAATTAACTGACTTGCAGCAATGGCTTATGAACAGTCTGTTGATAAGTATAAGCCCACAGTGTGTGAATTTTTTGATTTTAGAATTAGAAGGTATTTGGTTAACCTTAATCCGGAAGTTGAAAGACCAAGCTAAGATCACTTCAGTGTTTGCACTCTGCAGTAGAATTTTGTATTTTAAAAAACTCGTCAAACAAACAACAAAACCTACTTGGAAAAAAATAGCTAAGCATACAGTTATTCTCTACAGTGCTGCTATGGTTGGTCCGTCTTGCAGAAGAAAAATTGAATTAACCTTTGTATATAGATGAGCATACTTTTCTTTAAAACACGTAGGATGGTGGGGGAATTACCTTTCAGACATGCCTGCCAGCTATTTTATAGATCACAAGTTGAGGCATATGGTCTAATAGTAATCCGTACACAGTTCATTCCTGTTCTTGCAGGCTTTATTTAAAACAAACAAACAAACAAACTCCAAAGATTGTTTTGTCTATAGCGAGTTTAAATTGTCTATTTAAATGAACCATCCTTTCTCTGGTAGGTATCTTGTGTTCAGTCTCTCCTGCTCTAGAAAGTGTCTGCTGATCAGTTTTTTCCATCTTGAGCATAAACATTATTGCTGTTTGTTTGTTTTTACAGGATTGCACCTGCAATGCTACGGCAAGCTTCATATGGAACTATAAAAATAGGGACTTATCAGAGCTTAAAAAGAATGTTTGTTGAGCGTCCAGAAGGTGAGTGATTATTTTCCATTTCATTGAGGACTGACTTGCTTGAAGCTGGTTGTTTCCATTTGGTATCTTACTGTAGCAGTTTGAACAAGTCTACTGAGAAGACATTCCTGGTACTAGTTACAACAAAATGAGTCGGCAAGGATAACTTGTCAGAGCAGTTTTTAAGGCTTCTGTAACTGGCACTCTCTGGTTACAGGAGGGGAGGCATCATCCTGCCCTGATGCATCTTAAGATTTGTAAATCTGCAGCTAAACTCTTTTTCTTTGTTTGCAAAATAGATGAAACCCTGATGATAAATGTTCTGTGTGGCATTCTTTCTGGAGTAATCTCATCGTCTATTGCCAACCCTACAGATGTCTTAAAGGTAATTATATACAGTTTGTCCTTAGTTTTTGTTTTCTCCTTGAGGAAATGCAGAATCTCCTGATGAATATAGGATTTGTTTTGTAGCCCTATTTATTCTCATCTTTTAACTTTTAAAAAATCAGTAACATCCTGAATTCTTGGAACCTCCTTCTAGTCCATACTAATTATTTGGAATTATGCACGAGGAAACTGAAGGCTGGGGAGGTAGTTGGATGCACATAACTTTTTGTGAGAGAATAATACACGATAATTCTTTTTGACTTTCATACTGTAGTGTTTGTGTGGAAGCTACACTACCTATTTCATCTGTACTTCTTGGTAACACTGTTTTACAGTAGGATGTTTCTAACGCTCAAAATAGGTGAAGATCAATTTAGAGGGAAGAGTTCCTGTGAGTGCTACTTGGACTGTGTGATTCTTTAACTCTGTAGAGAGGCTTTGCAATCCTATATTCCATGGAAATAGTGTTCCAGCATCAGTCATTTAAAGCGAATTGGTGAAATGACCATGTCTTTAAAAATCTGTCAGTTTAGTTCAGTTGGTCAGAGCATTGTGATATAACACCAAGGGTATGGGTCTGATCTCTGCATGGGCCATTCACTTAAGAGTTGGACTCGATGATCCTTGTGGGCCCCTTCCAACTCAGAATAATCTGTGAAGTAATGCCAGTCAGTTACTTGAAACGGTTGATTGTATTTATCTTACAAAACTGGGGCTTGTGACTTAAATAGCTGCTTAAAAAAAAAAAAGTCAAGAAAACTTTGTTCTCCTGAAACTACTAGAAAACTTAACCCTTCATAGTGCTATTGTGGTTATGTAGTGGCATTTCAAATATAAGCTTGTATTTCAAGTATGGCTTCAATTAGTTATATCCCAAAATTTTGTCCACTTACCAAGTTGCTTGTTGCCAACTTGTACTTGGCAGGTTTCTAAGGGCTTTCTTAGAAATTGATAGGGTCAAAGACCATGGTTCTCACTGGCTGAAACATTAACATTTTAACCTTTCATTTCAACGTGTTCCTGTGAGAACACTGTAAAGGGCATCCTGCAAAACCCATCTGTCAGTCTAATCTAAATGAAGTGTACCCATACAGAAATAGAAGTGACTTCATGCAGCTAAGAATTCTACCACATACTTGTTCAAAATTAGCAGCTGCATTTGGGTAGTTAAAGCAAAAGACTATGTTATGGTTATGATAATGACAGCTCTTAATTTATATTCAAAAGAAATTTGACTTTACTACTTAAAATTGTGACTTAATAACAAAACTGTATTAAGCTATTTTCTTGGTTGTATGTTTGAAAAATGTTTACCTTTTAATTTTGTCTTCAAATGAATCTCAGATCAGAATGCAAGCCCAAGGTAGTGTGATTCAAGGAGGAATGATGGGCAACTTCATACAGATCTACCAAAAGGAAGGCACTAAAGGATTATGGAAGGCAAGTTTGTTTTTTTTTCTTTTAACTTTATCTTACACTTTAAGTACACTTTCTTGCTCAGTTGAATTTTGTGTATTTCTACAGCGTTCTCAGCTAAATTATGGAGGAGCTAATATGTATGTCATTTGTCATGACTGCTTCACTGCTGGTGTCCCAGTGCTTTTAGATGAAGGGTTACTGCCAGCCTTGTGTTCAAGGATTAGCTGCCACTAAGAAAAGGGAAAACAATTGTAGGGTGACTGGCTCTAGGACTAGTTCAACAACTTTTTGCATGACACCTGTATGTTCTGTCTGTTTTAAAACATATACTGAAGAACACTGGAAGCAGAGGTACTAATGAACGTTCCCTCTATCTCAGGATTCTCATATTCAGTTCATAGATTGCTCTTGTGCCAATTACAGTAAATGACTATAAAACAACTGAAGACACAAAATAGACAATTGTTCTGAAATAGCTGGAAATAGAAATGTTTTTTCTGTTAGTGTGTTTTTCTCTGCAAAGTTTCATGATCTCTCGTTTTCTGTTCGTCTTCCTTGCTTCGTCAGTTTTTCAGTTAGCAGCAAAGGAACGCAGTTTTGGGGGTTTTAGCTGACTGTGGATGCAAGAATTGAGATACTATTTTCTAAGAGATAGAAAATAGCATAAAGAAAATGAAATCACCATTCCTTGTGGGAAAATGATTTATCTGTTAGTTCATATTTGTGGGTTTGGAGCACACGCATCTAAGATTTGTATTAATTAACCTTATTTGAATGAATCATGTCCTTCACACATTTATGGTGTTGTTTTGTATTATAAGGGCTCAACTTTTCTGATAGTGCACAAAGGTTGACTTCAAACTTCAACTATATCCTTTCTTTTGCCAGGGAGTATCACTGACAGCACAGAGAGCTGCTATTGTTGTTGGAGTGGAACTGCCTGTGTATGACCTTATGAAGAAGCACATAATTATGTCTGGATTTATGGGAGACACAGTATATACTCACTTCCTGTAAGTTTGTGTAACTGTTTGTGTAGTTCATCATTGGTTAATTCTTGTTATGGGGATGAGTATTTTGATTTATCTGTCATCAGTCTTGATGTAAATACACTTCTGATGTGTATAACTTTTAATATAATAACATCTCAAAGGGCAGCATGTAGCATGGAAGCTAATTTTATTTAGGACTTGGATTTAACTTTCTTTCAAAATATGGAAATTTATTTTGTGAGTGGTCTGAATCATTCAGCTGTGCAAACTGAGGTTAGAATTTGCTAGCAAAGTTCCAGTTAGATATTATTCACAGGGGCACAACATCTGTTCAAGCATACTGTATAAGTGCTGTATAGCAGGTCTTCAAAAAACCACTTTTTATAGTCAATGAAAAGTAATTTTTCATATCCATTAGCTGATGTAACTTTTAACTGAAAGGATTAAACAGCTATTACTACTGCATGTTTCCTGAGGAACGGGAATTCTTGTGCATCTTTTAAATGTGGTAGATTGAATGTCATTAAACCTTTCTTTTATTAGCTCAAGTTTTGCTTGTGGATTAGCTGGAGCCCTTGCATCCAACCCAGTTGATGTTGTAAGAACACGCATGATGAATCAGAGAAGCCAACATGGGGGACACTCAAGCTACAAGGGCACTTTGGATTGCTTGTTACAAGTAAGTAATTCATTATCAACATAAATACTGCTGCCATCAATCAATGATTTTGGAGTAGAGCTCAATTTTTCCAATTCCCTAGAAATTAATCCTCGTAACTTAGATATGCTTTTTGCCATAATTCTCGAAGGGAATATACTGGCAGTAATGCACTTGGTGTGGAAAGTATCTACTGTTGACAGAAAGACAGGAAAAAAGTTAGTGTCTGCTACAACCCTTACTTCCTTTTGGTGCTTGGATGAGGAGACTAAGGCTCTCAGCAGCACTCTGTCTTACTAAACTTTGTACTATGCCAGGCTGATAGGAAATGATAATTTTCAGTTCTTGAAGAACAAGATCTGGGACAGATGGTTGTTGTTTTTTTCTCTGTTGCGTACTGCATGATGGAAAACCTAGTTAAGCCAGAGGCAAGGTCAGTCTCTGATCTTGATTTCTTTGATATGGTTTCTTAAATCTCTAAATTTGGTACGAGGTGGGAGCATGGTGGGTTTTTACATGGAGAAGAATGGATAGTAAGATATTGCTGTCCAGCTGTTGACTGAACAGTCCAAGTCTCACTGTCCAGCGAAATTTTTTGAAGTCCATAAAGCAAACAGAAAAATTTCAAGGGAATGCCTAATGTGAGCTGCAGGCTTACATGCAGAACTCTGCAAGGCTTTTTCTTTTTTGGGTGGAAGTCCAGGAGCGCAACTTGGATAATTTGTGTTGGGTACTGAGTTACATAGACTGCAACTTTACCTACCAGGTAATGCTGCAGGCATTACTAATCTTGGTTTTATCTAGTGAAATTTTTCTTTGTTCCATCATACAATATGTTTAAATGAAGGTTACAGGACTAAGCCCTTCTCTTTTCTGGTATAGCCCTGTTAGCTGAGATGCTGTCTAGATTTCTCACTAATAAAGAATTACATAAGTATGTTCTTATTCTGTTGTTATGGTTGTTTGTTTGTTTGTTTGTTTTTTCCCTAGACATGGAAGAATGAAGGCTTTTTTGCTCTATATAAAGGGTTTTGGCCAAACTGGTTAAGACTTGGTCCTTGGAATATCATTGTATCCTTTTTCAAAGGTGTGCCAGACTATGAAGTTAGCCATACAACAACAAGTATTGTTTTTCACAGAATACTCAGTGTGAAAAGTGTCCTGTCAGCACAGATATTCCCTTTTTATGAATAGGAAGTTGTGTAGTTGACAGGGGTTTTTTTGTCAACTGCTGCTGGTCAGTTTCACACAGAGTGAATATTGAAATGTAATCTTGCAAAATAATTCTCTGTTATTCCAATGTCACATCTGTCCATTCCCTTAGTTTGGAGCCTCATTTTAAATAAAATTGACCAGATGAGTTAGGAATGGGGACTATTTCCAGAATTGGGGAAACTGTTGGCAATTACTAATGCAGTCTTTTTTTTTTATCTTAGTCTCGCACAATTTTGGTTTTATTTCAAGAGCCAGGTGATCAGAGCCCTGGGAGGTGGGTTGGTATTAATGTTACTTTGCCATGAACGAACCTCCCATAGCCCCTCAAAGCTAAGATAGGAAAGACTCACAAAAGCCCCTCTAGGGGCTTTTGCAGTATTCTCCTTCATCCTCAGTCCTGTGGAATAGAGATAGGAAAGTAATTGGCATCACCAGCCTTAAAGCAAGTTTCATTGTTTTGCCTAGTATTGGGTAAAAAAGTGGCCAACCCGCAGCATGGCATAGGAGGGAAAAAAGTGTGGAACACAGTTTGACACAGACACAGCTATCCTTTAATAAAGTGACCATTTTGTACTGCATGAACAGGAAACAGTTTTCCTCAATCAGCTGTCCCAGTTCTTCCTGACATATGAACAGCTGAAGAAATTGGATGCCTGACATGCTGAGCTGCATACTGAATTCTGTTAATGTACTGTCTGACTTTAGAGCAATGTCCAAGTTGTCTTGTGTATTTGCTCTTTATTGTCTGAACTGCTGGCCAAAGGAAGAGGTCACTGCAAGACTGTTGAGTGAAAAGAACCTGTAAGTGATTTCAAGGCAAACTGGCTCCTGTAACCATGGCTTGTGTGATTCAGTGGATGATGTGCACTATTTTCTAGACTGAACCAAACATGGTGGAATACTCTCTGTCAACTGTTTCAGTGTTCTTGAATGAGAAGATCTGTAACACAACTTGATGCTTTTGAGACTCATGCACAGTTTTTTTTATAAGAGGCAAAGAACAGGTTTTTTTCTTCTGTATTTATGTAAGGAAAGGAAAAAGATTTCTGAAAAGAAAAAATTATTTTTCTTAGAGATAGGCAGTACCAAGGAGCTGGGCTTTTCCTGCTTTCAAAAATGTATACGATTTGAGTGTAAAAGCTTAAAGCTTCTAATTAATTGGAAGTGTCACAAGACATCTTTGCAGGCTTTCAGGTCAGCAAAATACCTACTGCAGTGCAAAATCTGCTTCTGATTTTGGAGCTTTTGTGTGTTCTAAATCCTTAGATGTCTGTGTAATCTGCTGGGATAATCCAGCTTCATTTGCAAGTGTGGTTGCTACAGTTGTCAGTTTTGCATAGCTTGAAGAAAGTTTTTTTTTTTCCGATGTATCATGATGATTTTCAGCATAAGCGATTCTTCAAGATATTCCTACTTGCAATTTACATGTGAATAAAGTTCAAACAAGTTCATGCCCATCTGCTGATCTTGCAGCGAAACTTTCCATGCCTCTTTTGTTGGGAAGAACTACTTGTACTGGTTACTGGCTGTTACCTGTCATCTGAAAGGTGCACCGAGCAGTTCAGGCTGTGTCATGTAGGTGTTTATGTGAAAAGAACTAACCCCTCCAAAGTAGATCTACTATAAAGACTGCTTTCCTTCTTTAAAAAGACACCCAAACCCAGAACTACTGAGTGCTTTCATATACCAAAGAGGCTCAAGTTGCTGTTACATGCAGGGAAACACTTTATGCAGAAATCAACCACAACTTTTATAAAACATTACCTTTAGGCTCAAGTGTGTATCAAAACTTCAGGCCCTTTAAAGAGTTACATTCTTATTAAATGCTGCTGTTTGATTCCAGGAAAGGGAATGATGAGATGCAACTCATATGATGAACCTTCTATGTTTACAGCAGGTAGCAAAGCAAGGTGCATAGGTTTGGATTTTTTGTGGCATTGTGTTAATCTTTTACATGTTTTTCATAGAATCCTGCATTCCACTTCAAGAACTTTCATTGTGCTTTCAAAACTATCATAATCACTTAAAATTACTAATTTTGAATTCACAAGTGGATTTTTAAATGCACAAGGCACTTTCTTTCCAAAGGTACAATGTTTTCTATATATATGAGTATGCTGATGTGCAGTGATTTTCCTTACAACTGTTTCTGTACTTTCTGCGCTTTAATAGAAACACTTGTAAATATTTTTATACACCATATAAGCAAAGAGTATGTTTGACATTTTTAAACTTATTAAAAGTGTTAAAATCATTATGTAATGACTCTGAGCTGCTTTCAGTTTCTGCGTTTCAAATGGTAGGGGGGTGGAGTGGGGCTCAAATACTTCAGGGTGATTAACAAGGGAAAGCTGTTGCTGGTATCGAACTGTTTGGTGCTATTGGTTATTTAGCCAAGGCAGACTAAAGCTGCTGTTCCTCTCACTTACTGGCTCAACAACATCCATTAACTATAGGTTTTCACTGTTCTTCGCCATATGTTAAATTGCAACAACATTTCCCACTCTATTATGAAAACTGCATGGTCTGGAACAGGTCAATCAGCTTCATTTTGTGTAGCAACAGAATAAATTTATTACACTTCTTACCAAAATGCATTTCTAGAGTTCAAGTGTGGTAGGACAAATGTGATGGACCAGTTCCGAGAGGCTGAGGAATATCCCAGTTTGGAGTGACAGGGTAGGAGTGCATTGTATCAGGTAATCTGTGGGACAACTGGACAAGATGGACTGAAATTAATTGCATAGCACCAAAGGAATACAAACAGTGAAAGAGGAGTTCAGGATCTCAGCTGAAGGTGACTACTGCAGTGAAGACCACAAGCTATTTTCAAGATCTTTAATTCTGATGTACCTTAGGATTTAGTGTGTAATGATAAAAACACTTAAGTTTACGAAAGCTAACAGCAAACCAAGGATAAGGGAAGATGTTTCTGAAGTTAATTGAATTCTGCAGGCATGCATGTTCTGGTACATAATGGAGAAAGCACCTCTGGTTATGGGGTGATGCAGAAAATGAGTCTCATAATCAGGAAGTTGGGTGGTGATGTGTGTGTGCACTGTCAAAAGGGAGGGCTGTCTGTCTTCACCTACCCCCCCTGTACTGCCTCAGTGCTGTCCTGACTCTTAAGGGAGAGCCACTAGTGTGGGAAAGGGTGTGATGGTTCCTTGTTGTAGGCTAGGAAAGTGCTGGAGCTCATGGAAGGGACGGGCAGACACAGGGGTGTCCTCTTGGTGGCAGACAGTGGTTTGGCACCAGTCGAGACAAATCTGACGGTGGAGGACATGTCAGGAGGCCTTTAGTTGCCATGTTAGATTAAACTGCATCACTGGTACAGCTGCAGCAGCCAGACCCAGCTGTTAATATCAGGGAGGCATTGTGACTTCCAGGGTTGTCCTGTGGGCTCTCTGCCTCTGCTGCCTTGGGAAAGAAGACTCCAGGAAATGCAGGGAATGAGTCACCTGCCAGACTGCCCATGGGTATCCCTGGTAGAGCCATGGACATGGTCCCTGCCCAGGAGCACCACAGGGCTGCCTGTGCCCAGAGGTTCAACAAGATCAAAGGCCAGGTCCTGCACTTTGGCCACCACAACCCCATGCAGTGCTACAGGCTGGGGACAGAGTGGCTGGAAAGTGGCACAGTAGAAAAGGACCTGGGGGTGCTGGTTGACAGCTGCTGAATATGAGCCAGCAGTGTGCTCAGATGACCAAGAAGGCCAGTGGCATTCTGGCCTGTATCAGAAACAGTGTGGTCAGCAGGACCAGGGAAGTGATTCTTCTCCTGTGCTTGGCACTGTTGAGGCCACACCTGGAGTACTGTGTCCAGTTCTGGGCCCCTCAGTTCGGGAAGGATATTGAAGTTCAGCAGTGCGTTCAGAGAAGGACAACAGAGCTGGTGAAGTGTCTGGAGCACGAGTCGTATTAGGAGAGGCTGAGGGAGCTGGGGTTGTTTAGCCTGGAGAAGAGGAGGCTCATGGGAGACCTCATTGCTCTCTACAACTACCTGAAAGGAGGTTGTAGCCAGTGGGGTGCTGGTCTCTTCTCCCAGGCAACAGGATGAGATGACAGTGTCTTAAGCTGCGCCAGGGGAGATTTAGGTTGGACATTAGGAAGAATTTCCTCAGAGAAAGGGTGATTAGACATTGGAATGGGCTCCCCAGGGAGGTGGTGGAGTCACCATCCTTGCAGGTGTTTAAGGAAAGACTGGACGTGGCACTTATTGCCATGGTCTGGTTGACACGGTGATGTTCGGCCCTAGGTTGGACTCGATGACCTCAGAGGGCTTTTCCAACACTTTTTGTGATCCTATGATCCTGCGGATCGACCCCGGGCGCGTGGTGATGCTGCAGCCGCCCCCCGTCATCCCCGCCGCCAGGGGGCGCCATCCCGGCCGCCCGCCCCTCCCTGACTCACTTCTTCCGCCGTTAATGACGCCACTGCCGCGCGACGCCGCGCGTCGGCGCCGAGCCTCCCCCGGAAGCGCCGCCCCGCTCCCGGCGTTCCGCCCCGCTCCCGGCCCGGCCCGGCCCCGCCGCCGGAGGCAGCGGCAGCAGTAGCGGCAGCGGCAGCAGCAGCAGCAGCGTCATCATCATCATCATCATGTTGGAGCCGCCGCCCGCGGAGCCGCCGCCCGCGGGCAGGGACGTGCGGGACCTCCTCAGCCTGTGGGACCGCCGCCCGCAGCCCACCGCGCCGCTCAGCGACCGCCAGACCGACTCGGTGCTGGAGCTGAAGGCGGCGGCCGAGAACCTGCCGGTGCCGCCCGAGGTGAGGCGGCGGCGCCGGCCGGCCCGGGGGGATGGCGGGAGGGCGGGAGCGGCCGCGGTGCCACGTCGCCAGGCGGGCGGCGGTGACGGCCCTGCCCGGCCCGACCGGCTGGGCCTGCAGGGCCGCCGCTCCCCGAGGTTCAGGGGCTCAGCAGCGCTTTGCGTTCTGGATTGTCCCGGCAATTGCAATGGCCTCCTCCCTCCCTCCCTCGGGAGGGCTTGCTCTTCCTGCTGCCTTCCCGAGGCGCCTCGTGCCTACTGCCCGCCCTGGCTTGCAGGGTTTGTAGGCAGCGGTGGCAGCTTTCCCCTGAGCATCCCTGAGCCTGCCCTCGCTGCTTCCCTCACTTCATCGAAATTTCTCCTCTTGAAATTGAGAGCTTTAGTTGTGGAGCTACGTTCTTTTGGTCCTCTTAGTTTGATCCTCATTAATACATAGCTGCTGGCGCCAGTGTTATTTCCTGGTACAACTTGCAGATGATCCAATGAGGGTGTAAAGCCAAGAAAAGTGGCAAAAAGCGTAATAATTTGTCAATACCATAGAGGACGCGGTCTCCCACTCAGTTATAGAATACCGAACTCTGACAAAGTGATTATTTGTGAATACTCCTTTGTCTCAAAGGGAAGTGGAACAGAATGTTTGCATTCCTTAGCTGCACTTTTCATGAGAGGCTTTGTATTTGATACTTTTGATACATCATTACGATGTGAGCAGGATCGTAGCACAAGATGCGGTGCCATAAAATCAAGAAAGTTGGCTCTCGGCAAGTGTCAGAAAGCTCAAAATAGCAAGGGGCGAGTGTAAAGCAATTCCTTCCAGAAATGCAGCTCTTTCATTTCATTCTTCCTGGTTTCTTTTCTTGTGTAAATATGTGCAAAAAGTAAATACTGGCAGGCATCCAAAATGATTGTAGCAGGATATGCTGCTGTCATAGGATGTTCTTAAGGATCTAAACCAGCTTCGCAACAGGGCAGGTACTGTATTTGCCAGTCAGGACAATGGCAATGCCAAGACATTTTGTTCTTCAGTGGACTGGGACAGTGGCATCTCAGCTGTTCTGGAAAATCAGGGTCTGATGGACTTGTCTATTTCTCAGTAGTAGACATGAGAGAAATCCTGCCTGTTTTAGAAAGCAGGGAAGAAAAGTGTATGGAAGTTGAACAACATACAGCAATCTGTCATTTCTCAAATAGTTGAAATCGTGATTGTTCTTTCTTTGTTGCACAAATATTGCCAGGAAGTGAATATTTTGCTAAGCAAGTAGTTTTTTAGAGGGATACCAATTTGTATTTTAAGTAGTGTTTTCTGTTTTTACATTACTGATGTTCTCAGCAATTGAAAACATCCAGCTCATCATGTTATTTAAAGAGGCTATTACATTAAATAAGCGTATATAACAATATTTGTCTTCTTGAATTTCTTTCATGTAAGCTAATTAACAGACTCTGGTCATAATTAAATACAATTTATCTCAAGTTACTTTTTTTTCCATATTTTTCTCATTTAAACAAAATAATTGTGGCTGAAAAATAATTCCCATTCAGCAGAGCTATTCCTTGTCTTCTGAATGAATTCTGGCAGTGTTAAGTCTTGAATTTTCCTTGAGTAAAAAACTCTGACAATTCCTGTGCAATGGTGCTGACAGGTACCATGGACAATAAGTTTGGTGTTTTTTTTTTTTTACTTCTGTGTCAGTTCTGAGTTCTTATGCTCTCAGATACTTTTCTAGTGCATCTCTCTGGGTTAGAACCACTTATACTGGAAAATAAAGTGTAGCTTATCAGTGTCAGATACATGTACCTTCGGTTTCTGTTCTTACACAAACATGTACTTACATAAAATGCTGTACAGTGTTTTCTGACTTTAACTTAAAATTGTCAGGTGTTTCTGAATGAATAGGTGGTCTAGTTGTTACTGTAATGATTGGACTTGATAATCTTAGAGATCTTTTCTAGCCTTACTGATTCTATGACAATCATGTTGATAGATAAATGTCCATTTGTTTCTTTAAAAGTAAATGCCAGTAATTTTCTCATCTTGTTGCTTTGGATTGTGTTGTAGTTGAGCTGCATATACTAATTCTCTGTGAGTTCTCTAACTAAAGCTTTTGGGGTTTTGTGAGCAGCTTCCAATTGAGGATTTGTGCAGCCTGACTTCCCAGTCTCTACCTGTTATGCTGTCAGCTGCGGTGCCAGAATCTACAGAGGATGTCCTTTTGAAAGGATTTGCAGCACTGGGGATGGAGGATGAAAGAATTGAAACAGCACAGCAGGTGAGTGATGCTGAATAACCTCCAAGATGCTGTAATCTGCAGAGAATTATGT